TGAGGAAAAGGCCTTCTGAGGTTTGATCAATTTGAATTCCCAGAAAGAAGTTCACATGTCCCAGATCCTTTAATGAGAAATGAGTGTGCAACTCATTGATAACTAGCTGAATGGCCTTAGCATTAGACCCTGTGATAAGGATATCATCCACATAGGTAAGCACAAAGATTGTGGAATCATGATTATGTCTGAAATAGAGAGAGGGATCAGCTTTTGAGTTTTGAAAACCAAGTTTGTTCAAAGTGGCAGCAAGCTTAGAAGACCAGGCCCTTGAGGCTTGTTTTAAGCCATAAAGGGATTTGTTAAGCTTGCACACTAGTCCTCTCCCTTGATCAAAGCCAGGAGGCTGTTCCATATAGAGTTCAGTATCAACATCACCATGAAGAAAGGCATTGTCCACATCAAGTTGTCTAATGGACCAGTGATGAGAAAGAGCAAGACTGATAATGACCCTAATGGTAGTAGGCTTGACCACAGGACTGAATGTGTCAGTGTAATCAAAGCCAGCAATTTGAGTATATCCCTTGGCAACCAACCGAGCCTTGTATTTGGCAATAGAGCCATCAGCATGCTTCTTGAGCTTGAAAACCCATCTGCACCCAATGAGAGACTTGTGTGGTGGCAAGGGTGTGAGAGTCCATGTGTTGTTCCTCATTAAGGCATCATATTCTTGCACCATAGCATGTTTCCATTCAGGTTGAGACAATGCTTGATTGACCGCGCGTCGCAACACGGCAAAATTAAAATTTATATTTTCCTCGACTAACCTCTACTAGCTAGTAGTAGCGGCGAGTAAGGGTCGAACCCACAGGGAGTGTAAACAAGACTCAACAAATCAGGGTTAATTATTCAAAATAACACAAACAATTCCAAAAGTTAATGAAATAATCAACCGAGAGAATTAATCAAACATTCATCGAGTCTTAGGGTTCAACTTCCCCGGAACTAGAATAATAAAACTACTCTAACATAATAAATAAAAATAAAAAGAAAAGAAAGAGATTAATTATCTCCCTCGTGTATGGGTGCGGCCTCCCTCCGCGATTGATCGGATTCCTCGCGTCTGCTATGTTATTTTCTGTACGCCTTTCTTTTCTGCTCGCGTGATGTCTGGCAGCTCTCTGTATGCGTGCCTCCCTTTTTTTTCTTTCCCTGCTGCGTGGCGACTGCGTGAGGGTTGCGTCTTTTTT